CAGTAGGAAGCTGGTACTGTTGTTACCCTCACTTTACAGGGGGAACAAACTGAAATTTAGAGAACTGAAGGATCTTGCTCAGGCATGCTCAGCTAGGAGCCAGGATTCAAATTCAGAGTTGTCTGGCTCCAAAGCTACATTACCACAATGTCATATGGAGACTCTTAGGGTTGGAATGAAAGCATCGTGTATCAGAATAAAGGGAGACAAGACTTGATAGGATGGTTGTGGTCAGGTTGGAGGATACTAAATGCTGCGTCTTTAGGTAACGGGGAGACAAGAGCTTGACACAGATTCTTAAAGGAAGTTACCAAACATGTTTACTGAGGTGGGTGAGGAACATTCATGTCACGAGGCAGGGGTTTGACCCAGTCAAGTGGTTACTTCCAACCCAGAGATTCTGTGATGTTACTTTGAACTCTTTGGCAGAGCTATGCACTAAGGGCAACTAAATATCTCTATCCTTACTGCTGATGTCCTACAGCAGTGATACCAGGAGCCTTTCCATCCAACTACTCTGTGGCCTGTTTCTACACTTTGAATGTGGAAGACTGCGTGTTCATAATGGACGAGTAGATGGGCTGTCAAGGAGTCATTTTTTTTTATTCCAGTCTCCACTACGTGTCACCTTTAGAGGCTGACTTAAATGAGGCAGCATGCTGTAGTAGAGAGTGCATGGGCTTTGGAACTGGCTAGCCTTGGGATGGAATCTCAATTCTACCTTTTGTCAGTTGTGCAACCTGGACCCTGGGCAATGTACCTAACTGCCCCGAGCCCCAGTTTTCTCATCTATAAATGGGGACATGTCTACCTTATAGGAAAGCGCCTCGCTCATTTTCTGAAAGTTTACTATGTCAAGCCCTTCGTCCATCAGGTGAGCCCAGCACCTGACCCTATCAACATCGTCGTCAATCGTCAGCATTGGCATCATGTTTTTATACTTGTTAGAACTTCTCCCTGCAGTTGGACTGTGAAGCTTAAACACCTCTTTCCTGGGAGAAACAATGTGGGAAGAGTTCAGTCAGTTTGAAATAAGAGGACCCTAGTTGAAGGCTAGTTCAAACAGTAGGTGACTGAGATCTTGGACAGTAGGTTTAAAGCCCTCTTCCCAGGATTGTTGCGAGCACTGATTGAAGGGAAAGTTATGAAAGTACTTTGTAAATCCATAAAGCTTGACTAAACTATTAGGCAGAATGGTAAAGTGCTGTTATGCCATGTCTTTGAAAGAATTCAACTAAAATTGAATAACCTTTGGGTTCACATGAGTAGTCCTTTGCTAACGTGTGTGCAGGATCCAAAAAGGCTCCCTTTTTGAGGCTCACTTTGCTCCTTTCTCTGGTTGTTGGCCTCCAAGACCGTATGCCCCTCTCTCACTGGCTGACGTTAATGGTGGGCAGATTCTGGCCTGGTCCCTGCACCAGTAGTGGGATGTTGACCTGTCTGCTGAGCCCGGGAGCCCACAGCTGCCAAGGAGACCCAGCTGGAGCTAATTTGCTGGGCTGAGTCACAGTGTCTGGTTGGGACAAGTTGGGCGTTTCTTTTCAATCACAAGTGCCTCCCCAGACCTACTCAGTGCTCATCACTTTGCTATGTTCCTAGGTGTGGGTGGTGGTTAGGCACAGTCGGTCCCTTCTTCTGAGGAGCATCTTTTTCCAGAGGGAAAAAGGACTTCAGGACTCCCTATCATTTAGGACTAAATGGTTTGGTAACGTGATAGTTACTACAAAATCCAAAGTAGGGGGAGTTCAGGGACAGTTAGCAGAGTTTGAGAAGGTTTATTATTGGTTAGCCAGGGGATGTTCATGAAAACACTCATTAGTGCTGCTCAGGAGAAAGACCACATAGTGTCAGCAGAGTAGCCCAACCTGGCAACGTCCATGGGAATGCACAGCAATCGAGAAGAGCCTTGCTTCACAATACAACAGGATTCCCAGAGGCTTAGCAGGGCCAGCACAGCTGGCCAGAGTTGACATTATAGTTCAAGGGACAGAATTGTAGCTTGGAAATGTGGGTCTCTGAGTTCAACTTTTGCTTTTGCATTGTACATTCTGTGTTGTTTATTTTTCTTTTTCTTACCTCAATTTTGGTCTTGAAAGGAACTCCGTCAGACGCTTGCAGCATATTCACCATCAGGCAACCAGTAAATTTGTCTTTGGGAACCACTTAGGGAATCAGACCCTGACTTCAGGTTATTGTGTAGTCAGGAGACCTGAGTTCTAATCTTAGCCTTGCAGCTGTTCTGCTCCTTGCTATGCAAAGTGTGGTCCATGGACTAGCAGCATTCCCTGGGAGCTGGTTAGAAATACAGAATCTTGGGCCCGCCTAGACTTGTGAATCGGCATCTATGTCTTAAGAGCCTCAGGTGATTCATATGCACATAGAAATTTGAGAAGCACTGGCCTAAATGGAAGCTCAAGGAAAGTATGGGCTTTTTCTATCTTCTTATTTATTGTTTTCTATCTCCAGTGCCAATTTAAAATTTAGCACATAGTCCATGAATCTTTGTCTGACCTTGAACATATCTGAATGTCTAGGGACTTTGTAAACTTCTAGGGACTTAATTGTAAAGTGGTGTAGGGAGAGGGATGATGAATGGAAATGGGTCAACTTTCAGTGGTTGAAAAACTGAAGTGAGCATCGCAGGTGGTGGTGGTGGTTTTAATATGGATGCCTTTGACTCGTTCTAAGTCAAAATCTCTGAAGCTGAGTCATAGGATTTGTATGTTTTAAAAACTTCCCTTCCTGTTCAAGAATGTTTAGTACATATACATATAATAAAAAAATCTTTAAATGTCCCTCGAGAGGAAATGGATAAATACAATGGAATACAATTCAGAAGTTTAAATGAATGAAATACAGCTACATGGATAAACATGAATAATGAAAAAAAAATTTTGAGAGAATAAAGTTGCAGAAGGATGTGTGACATATGTTTCTATTTATTTAAAGTTTAATAAATTCATATGTATGTAATGGAAACATACATGTGTAGTAACAGTGTGAAGACCTGAATGGAAATGATGAATGCCAGGTTCAGGCATTAACTACTAAGTTAATTTTGAGAGGAAAGAAGGGGAAAGGATGGGAGTTTTAACACTCCCTTCATGTTTTATTTCTTAATCAAGAAAGAAAGAATAAAGAAAAAAATGTTGCAGCTGCAAACATGGGAAAATAAGATTTTTTTCCCAAAGGAATGAGTACGTAATTATTCGTGGTACTATTCTCTATAATTTTTCCGAATGCTTGAAATATCTCATTATAAAACGACTAAAATGAAACTCTCCCCGTAATTGTGATGCAGACAGTTGGCATTTGGGAATTCTTGCCTTAGATGCTCCTAAGGCCCTTGCAGTTCTCAATGGGTCTGTACGCAGAGAACTCTCTCCCAACCACCCTGTCTTGTTCTCATAGACAACCGATGCCTATTAGGACATGCCCAAGGCCTGTGGCTTCCTTGCGTTCTGTCCTGATGAGATGCAGCCCCACCAATCTAACTCTGCTTTAAGGACCTTGCCTACAAGGCCCTCCTCTCTGTTGTCTGCTTCTCTCCTTTATTAGTGGAGAGGTTCTGTCAGACAACTAGCCTAGTCTTAGAGCTCTAACCTTAGGGTCACCTCCTGCCTTCCCTTCCCCAAGCTGCATTCGTTTTAATAACGCCTTCACTAACACATCAGTTCAGTGGTAGCACTTAGTTATCCATGGGAATCCCAAGAGTTTTCATTGCCTACCCCAAGTATCCGCATTTGCAATCAGATCTCTTATTGCTGTATCTGCTTTCATAATCCTTTCTATACCTGAAGTGTCCCTAAAGTTGAATCAATCAGGATGACACCTGTTGGGCTGTGACTCAGGGAACGTTAAGAAGGAAGAAGTGGCTCTAACAGCTGGTGCCAAAATGGACTTTTAAATTGAGTTTTCTTCTTCTTATTTTTAATATACTCTATAGCAGTGGTTCTAAACCAAGGATGATTTTTTTCCCCTGGGGACATTTGGCAGTGTCTGGAAACATTTTTGGTCTTCAAAGCTAGGAGAGCGCTTCTGGCATTAGTGGGTCGAGGCCGGGGATGCTGCTAAACATTCTATTATGCACAGAACAACTCCACCCCTATAATAAAGAATTATCCGGTTCAAAATGTCAATAGTGCTGAGGCTGAGAAAGCTGCTCTACAGATCCTCATACCACGAATATCCTCCTATCAGTGAGCGAGAGTGGATGCGGCTGCAGATCCTTGAGAGGAACAAGGGATGTAGGAATCCTGTGAATATATGTACAGACCATCCCTGTATCATCTTAATGGCATGATGGGGGCTAGGGAGTTGTGGTGTTGGAAATGGAGGATGAGAAGAAATTAAGGAGATTAAGGAAAAGCTGCAGAGGAACAAAGCCCAGGTGGTGGGGAGAATAGAGAGAAGAGGCGTGTGATGCCTTTGAACTTGGCGCCTTGCTATAAATAGCACTCTCATGCAATAGAAATACAAGACCGCTAATTTAAAAATATTCCCAATGCAAAATGTGGTAGATGGTTTCAGTGATGGCCCCTAGTGAGTCATGCTATCCTCTGTCCACGCTCATCTGCAATTGTTTTGCTGTTCTTCTTGTCAAGAGGGGGAATCTATTTTGGTTTTCTCCCTCACATTTCTGCCATCCTGTGAGGAATTCCAGCCTGATAAAACCTCTGAGCAGAAAGCCCAAGTATCCAGCTGTCCCAGCCCAGCCCAGCCCCCAGCCAACCTTCCAGCTCGTTGCAGCTCTATCAGTGAACCCAGAAGAAATCAGCTCATCCACCCAGCCAAACCACGGAGTGGTGAGAAATAATAAATTGTGGTTGTTTTAAGCCATTCAACTTTGGGGTGGTTTGCTACACCGCCGTAGATAACTGGACACTGTATCTTAGTGACTTCATTTAAAGTGGTGGATGATATATTTGCCTTAGAATATGTGTGTAAATATCAGATCATGGTTCAGAGAAACTGAGTTCTTCCTCCTTTGTTTTTTGTAGCACTTCTCAGAACTTCTGGATGAGTTTTCCCAGAACGTGTTGGGTCAGCTCCTGAATGACCCTTTCCTCTCAGAGAAGAGTGTGTCGATGGAGGTGGAGCCATCCCCAACGTCCCCGGCGCCTCTCATCCAGGCCGAGCACAGCTACTCTCTGTGCGAGGAGCCTCGGGCCCCGTCACCGTTCACCCACGTTACCACCAGTGACAGCTTCAATGACGGTAAGCTCAGAGCAGGGGAAATACCTGGGACCTGGCACCTGGGACTCTGAGCTCCTTGTTGGTGTGGAATGTGTGTTATATTGTTGTCGCCACCCACTTTAGCCACATACCTGCTGTGTGTAAAGCCCTGTGCTTGGGCCAAGGCACAGGACACATTTCTCTACTCGAGACTGTACTCTGGGAACTCACTAGTAATTGCTTCCTTTAACCCTGTGGATTGGGCAACAAAGCATCCTTTTACAAATCAGATTGGCCTATTTGGTTGATAATTCCAGTGAGTCCATTATTTCAAGAGGTCATGTCATTTTTTATGAGAAATAATTTTTATGACCACTCTTCTCTGTAGGAGCCTCTTGGGCATCCTCTTAACCCATTTTCGGCATGTTCCATTGACCCCGTGTGTATGAGATCTTGGTGAGCATTCCTAGACTTTCTTGTTGGTGATCCTTTTATGCTCATCATCAGTGACATCAGTATGGCATTTGTTAAAGGTCTAGTTTTCCTGGCCTTAGAGATGTTAAGATTCTTTGACTATTATTCTATAGGCCTTTAATTGGTATGTGCTATATCTTCCAAACTTTCTAAGATATGTAGACCTTTTAAATTTATTTTTGTATGTTTTGTTTTCCTAGAAGTATAACCAGCTATTTTAGTACCATGAGTAAGTTTTAAAAACTGTTTTCTCTAATCTTAATTCAGCATATGCCTTCTTCTCACAGGAGGATGATATGGTGGGGAACGGTCACTAACTTGACATCCTCTGGCTTGACCTGGGTGTCCTCCCTGCATCCTTACACCACTGTACATATGGCAGCATCTTTTGAAGTGGCTGCCTACAGAACAATTCCTTCTTGCCTCCCCCTGGTTAAAGGCAAATGCCTGTATCTACTTCTTCAAGCAGGGCATTAGCTTTGTGGGGAAATCTCTCTTCCAGTTTGGGTTCTCAGATCTACTACTGGCCTCTGAAAGAACCAACTCTGGGACCAGTAAAATATCATATCTTGGGACAGAGAGTGCTATAGGTTTTTTTCTTTTTCATCTCAGATATATTCTTCCTTTGAATAGAGGTGTACTGATCAGCAGCCCAGGAAATTTGGCCTTGTATCCACAGTGAAGGGAATGCCCCAAATCTGTGAGTGGATTCTTTCTTTGCTGGACCCTGCTGGAGCCTTAATTATATGCTCAGATTTTTCCTGACAAGAGGCTAGGTGCATGATGACTTAATCCTTCTTTTCTGTAGTTTGTCCACTTTCTCTGGCTCAGATCAGGGGAATGGGATGAGGTGCAGTCTCCTGGGAAGGAGGGGAGGAAACAGAACTAAAATATTTTGAGGATGTGGAATTGTTGTGAAGGTACAATGACATGATGTGTTTAAAGAACTTAGGACAGTGCCCACCACATAGCATTTCAATAAATCAATTTTTTTTCCTTCTCTCCTCTCCTCCTCTTTCTTCTTCTGTTGCTATAGGGTGGTTATTGTTGTTGTTCTTCTTTTCCTCCTTCTTCTGCTTCTGTTTCTTCTGTGTGTCCTCCTTTTCCTCTTTCTTCTCCCCTCCTCTTGCTCTCCCTCTTCCTTCTTCCTCAATTCTTATTAAATCACTTCCAGGAATGGCCTCAGTTCAAACGCAGGAATATGGTCTCTGTTATGACTAAATACTCCTCATTTGTATCACTATATGGAGGAGAACTATAGGAAGTCAGCCTTCTTCTGGGTTTCACCTTAGCTACATTCATGCCATCCTCGCCTTAGTTTTATTATTTTAAGGGTGGACTCTAGCATTAGATAAAAGGTTGGACTAAATGACTTTTAAGATTTCTTCCAATCCTGAGGTTCTCTGTGGATATGGTTTCTGTATAACATTTGTGTTTGCCTTTGTCCATGGTTTTTCCCCATACTCCCTTCACTGCTTTGCCTATATCATTCCAACAATCCTTTTGATGCCTCTATTTCAAGTCCTCCTTCTTTTGTGGAAGTCATTTCCAATACGTCTTGTATTAGTTATCTATTGGTGTGTAACAAATCTCTCCAAATTAATGGATTAAAACAATAGTAGTCATTTATTACCTCTCATGATTTCTGTGGGTAAGGAATTCAGGAGTGGCTCACTTAGGTGGTTATGGTTCAGGATCTCTCACAAGGTTGAAATCAGATGTTGGCTGAGGCTGCGGTCCTCGAAGGCTTTTCTAGGATTAGAAGATCTACTTCCAAGGTGCCTCCCTCACATAGCTGGCAACTTGATGCTGGCGAATTGGTTCCTCCCCATGTGGGCCTCTCCATGGGGCTACTTGAGTGTCACCACAACATGGCAGCTGCCTTCCAAAGAGTGAGGGATCCTAGAGCCCAAAGCAGAAGCTGAGATGCCTTTTCTGACCTAGCCCTGGACGTTATTCTGTCCTGATTCATTGTGACAGAGGACTGTACAAAGATGTGAATGCCAAGACGGGATCACTGGGGGATGTCTCAGAAGCTGACTACCACACTTCTCCTCATAGTGCTGCCTGTAAAGTGACTTCTTCCATGTCTGAACTCCTTTGTCACATGTTATCAGTGCCATACAGTGTAGCCATCCATTCATTTAGTGGTTCTTGAGTTGTTAAGGGAGAAGGTATGGAAGACTGAAGCATGTTCCTAACCTTTGGTGATGGCATCAGGAAAGACACCTGCTCTGCTGTCTCATGCATTGCTTTCACCCTCACTGTGCGGACACACTAGGGTGCATGTGTTTGATCAGCTGGTATTTCTTGGCCTATAGCAATTTTCTTATACAGGATCAAGCACAATGCTAAGTAGAAGTAGGTGTTTTACAAATGCTTTATGATTCATTTAAAAAATTCATTCCATAGTTATGTATTGAGTACCTACCTTGTGCTTAACTTACCATGGACTATTCTAAGCACTGGAGGGTAAAGGATTGAACACAATTCATAAAGATTTCTGCTTCATTCTATGATATGGGGGGGATGTAAAATAAGAAAAAGAAGTAAAATATATAGTATATTAGATGGTGATCAGTGGTATACAGAAAAATAAATCAGGAAAAGGAATAGGGAGTTGCTGAAATGGGGTGTGTGTGTCTTAGTCCATTTGGGCTGCAATAACACAGTACCACAGCCTAGGTGGCTTATTAACAACAGAAATTTATTTCTCACAGTTCTGGAGCCTGGAAGTTTGAGATCAGGGTGCCAGCATGGTTGGGTAAGGCCCCTCTTCTGGTTGCAAACTTCTTCTTGTATCCTCACGTGGCAGAAGGGGCTAGGGAGCTCTGTGGGGTCTCTTTTATAAGAGCACTAACCCATTCATGACGGCTCCACCCTCATGATCTAAGCATCTTCCAAAGACCCATCTCCCAATACCATCGCATTGGGCATTAGGATTTCAATATATGAATTTGGTGAGGACACAAACATTCAAACCATAGCAGGAGAGGAATTGAAATTTTGAATTGGGTAGACAGGGAAGACCCTTCTTTGAAGGTAACATTTGAGCAAAGATCAGCAGGAGATAAGGGAAAGAACTAGGTGTCTCAGGAAGAGGCTTCTAGGCAGAGGAAACAGCAAGTGCAAAGGCCCCATGGCAGGTATGTGATGACAATGTAGCAATACTTATATATTGTGTTCAGACAGTTAGCATTTGTGGAGTAATCAGCCATTCCACAGCCTTGCTGTTGTAGAATATGCAAATTAGAGATGCCTAAACAATCTAGGCAGACTCACTTTTCCCTTCAATTCCACATATATTTGTTGTGTGTCAGGCACCATCCTAGATACTTTTGGGACACAATAGTAAAAATTAGATCCTGCCTACGATGTAGCTCAGAGTCTAGTGAAAATACCATGTACCCCAGTACTTATCAGACATAATATGAGCAATGTCCCAAGAGGAAATGAAACTGTAGAAGTTCAGAGCGGAGAGAGCACACGCATTGAAGATACGGCAGAATTTTATTTGGGCCTTGAAGCGTGGAGTAGAGTTGAAACAATAACAATGATTAGAAGGAAGCAGATAGAGGGCAGAGGGCTAGGACACTGATTCTTCTAAAACAAGATTCCTAGTGATATGATTGCAAATAAGCAGATTTCCAAAAGTTCAGGGTCCCTTTCTCTTCCGTGATGACACTCTGTCTTTGTTTTTTAATTCTGATCAATATAAATGCAGCATAAAGGAACCCATGGGTGCTGCCACCTATGTTAATAGCTTAGTGTGGGAGAGATAATCAGTCAATCTCTTCCAGGAAGGCTTTCTTATCTTTAGGACAAAGCACACACCATTCAGTTCCCCCAACTGGCGCCTCGTTCTGTTTATAGATCCTGTGCCACAATAGGCTGTGCTAGTCGTTTGCCGAGAACAGGTACAACGGGTCAGATATATTTTGCAAAGAGTTTCTGATCCACAGTTTATCTTCATTAAGAACTATTTTTTTCTCTGAGCAAAAGCTACCTTCCTTTGCCAGCAAAAGCACTTTCATAAGTAGGGAATAACGAACACAGATAGTAACCATTTGGGATGTGTGAAGTCAAAGTTAGGCAGTGTGCTTGAATGGATGGGGAACTTGCCCAGGAAAGCTAGGTCTAGGTCTTAGTTTCAATTATTTTTCTGAGTTCTATGGATGGGCAAATGTTTGGGAACAGAATTATTTTATTCGTTTAAACCCCAGTTTGCACCCCCCTTAAGGGAGGATCAGTCCACAGGGATGCCTCTCAAGCCGAGTTCTCTGTCAAGCAGATCCCTTCCGTGACGGAGGAGAAGGATGGTTCTTTAGGCAACACATAAGCAGGCAGCATTTAAAAATTGCTGTTCATATTAAATTTAATATTCTTTATCTGTTGCATTGTGAAAACAGCTTAAGCAAAACTAGGAGTCCTTGTTTCTAGTGATGGATAGTGAGTATTTCATTCTACCTGGGAAAGCCAATGATCCAGATCTTCTTGTCCAATATTACTTAGGTTAAATGCAGTTCTTCTCTAATTGCTTCTAAACCTGAAACAAAGTGATAAGATAA